CTCTACCTATCAAGGCAACCCTGCTCCTTCTACCCTGTCAGTGCAAACCCAACCCTTTGTTCTGGAATGTTCCCTGCCAGTTACCCCCTGGGATCAATCCCTAGCCGAACCCTCTCTCCTCCCTTCATCCTGATTAGTTATTGTTCTGAAAACCACACCCTAAGACCCTGAGTGTTACCCCATTGATTGTCTTCTTGTACCCACCCCCTCTCTTGTGAAAGCTTAAAAATCCGTGCACAGGAGTGCTCAGGGCTCTTTTTCACCTGTGGCCCCTTCAAGTTTACTCCTTTGTCTAGCTGCTGATAAATGAGTTGGCTTCTCACTGTGAAAGAGCCTCTTCTGACTTCTTTGCTTGATCCCTGCTGCGCTGCTGTGGAGTCTCCAGCGTAGGACACTTGGCTCAAAGGTTCTGGCTCTGGCACCATCCCAGCTGAGGCAGTTCCCCACACTTGCCCCTGGAACAACACCGACCTAGCAGACTGCCCCCAGGCCAAGGGAGTCTGACTCTGTGGAGGATAACCAGGACTCTGTGTCTGTGACCAGGCTCTGTTCCATGGGGAGGAGGCAGGGGATTGAACTGTCCCCTTGCTGCTGCTCAATTTTTCATCCAAATCCCTGCTTGAGCACCCATAAAAGGTCCCTGCCCAGGTCATTTGGCATGATGGCTTCTGGAAAAGCATCCCTAGAGTCACTGTCCCTGCCTGGTCGCAGCTGAGCTGGTGGCAGTGAATGAAATAGGACTTGTGCTGGTGGTGATAAGAGACTGCAAGCTGGACCCATCTGATTCTCACAGCAATTCAGAGAGGCTGATGCTGACATGGCAGAACAGGTCCTAGAATAGCCTTCATATCCCAGCACACAAAATGGGTGAGAAAAAGCATTTTTAAAACTTACTGGGGAAACTCTGCAGCTGTGATGCCATCCTATCTCAAGCCCAAGGCTCCCCTCTGACCTCTTTGGAGTCACATGTACTCCAAAAAACGCTCTGCTCTGAACTCAGGCTGGGTCATGACTCATGTCTTGGGCTGTAAAAATGTATTTCATTGTGTCAGCATGGAAAGTGGCCGTGGGCAGCTCTCTGGCAGCAATGAGGCCGGCTGGGGCAGGCCTCAATTGCACATGCTGGAGCCCAAATTCCACCTCACATTTTGCTACAGCACACAAAAAAGGTTCAGGGGAAGAAAAGGCTAGAGTGGAAAAGTGTTACACTTAAAAATTCTGGTAGGACTCTTTCCAGTGGCTTGTCTGGCTATAAATCCATCTATTTTGGTGCAAGTGCAAAGCCTGGACCTGCGACCTCAAGAGTCTCCTGAGCCTGTGGAATTTGCTTCGTATCCAGAAGAGACACCTCTCGTGCTCATCCTGGCATCCTTCCAGAGGGAAAAGGGCAACTGAACTCTTTGGATGTCTCTGCTTTGCTGTGTTAAACAGCATCCAGGATTTTTCTTTGGGTCTTCCCCCAGCCAAAACTACTTGCATGTACTTTTAGTATGAAAATATCACTAAAAACAAAGAGTTAACTGTGGAGGGGCAGCACTGTGAGGCTTCACAACATTGGCACTTTGCAACTTAATTTTGCTTTTGGACTTAAATGTCCAATTATGTGTCTGGGGGTGTTTAGCACCAGTCAGGTAATTTCATTTGTGACCAAATCTGGGACACGTTGCCACATCTGAGCTACGGAAGAAGCCAAACAGCCTTGAGAGGAGAGGAGCCTGGTGGCTGCAGACAAGCATATGGCAGTCCTGGGCACAAACCCACACACCTTTTCCTGAGGGAAATCTGGATTCCTTAAAGGAAGGGGTTTAATCAGGAGGGATCAATTCCATGAGGGAAATCTGGATTCCTTAAAGGAAGGGGTTTAATCAGGAGGGATCAATTCCATGAGGGAAATCTGGATTCCTTAAAGGAAGGGGTTTAATCAGGAGGGATCAATTCCATGAGGGAAATCTGGATTCCTTAAAGGAAGGGGTTTAATCAGGAGGGATCAATTCCATCAGGGAAATCTGGATTCCTTAAAGGAAGGGGTTTAATCAGGAGGGATCAATTCCATGAGGGAAATCTGGATTCCTTAAAGGAAGGGGTTTAATCAGGAGGGGTAAATTCCATGAGGAGCAGTTCCCTGTTGCCGCTGCTGTCCAGGACAGAGCGATGCTGTGTGACCAGGACAGGGCTCTGTGCCTGTTAAAGCCCTGGGCACTAATGCAGCCTGGGAGCAGCTGCAAGCAGAGCCAGCTGAAGGATTCCTGCTGCCTCCCACCAACGCTGCCCTTGATTCATCAATTACCTATCTGCTTAGTCCTTTTCTCCATCCTTTTACAATCTAAATAGCACATTTTATAGTCGCTGCTAAGTGATGTGATCAACATCAATTACCTACTAAAAGAGAATCAAGTCTTGATTTAAAATTAAGTGCTGCATTTTCCCATGTTCTTTATATGTAGCCAACAGAATAATTGCAGTGACATAAAAACTAATTACACAACTCCACAATTAGGCCTCCCTCCTAGTGCTGTGATTGTCTTTAAGTATACTGATGAAAAATTACTCCCAGTCCCAAATTACTGTCTCACACCCATCTTCTGTAATACCTTTGGAAAAAGCCCTCCACCCCATCAGACCAGAGAGGAACTCCAGATGCAGAAGGTAATACATGCAGAGTGTATTTTCTTATCTCTTCGACGTGGGAGCAGTTTCAGATGTGGGATTCGGCTGGGATTGCCCAGGGATGTAGCAGTGCTCCTCTCTGGATGAACTGAGCATCTCAGTGAGGCTTCCCTAAGTGCCTGGTGCCTGGTGTGCCAGCACCCTGACACAAACAGGGAGAAAATCCTCTTCCCAGGGCCCCAGCTGACATTTGGCTCCTGGGCTGCAAGCAGAGAGACCAGTCCTGCCTGGCTGCCAGCCTTGGGCTTGGTGCGTGGAGCCCAAAAGGAGGAGGAAGAGGCTGAAGTACAGCAGTACTTTTGGCCATCCAAAGGCCAGGAGTTACACCCAGGCAGCAATCACGTAGCTGCCTGAGAAACCATAAACTCCAACAGAAATCATAAACATCAATAAAACTCTGGTGCACTCCTGACAGGCTTTGAGGGATTTGATTCCAGATTATGTTTTTGAGATGTTTACAACCAACCTGAAAAGATTGAAAATATTCAATTACTGGCAAGCAGAGCTGAGATTTGCTTACAGTCTATCTCCTGCCTCCAGGATCTCTGTCGGTGCCAGCAGTGAGCACGGGTGAGCAGAGCCACGGGGACAATGGCCCAGGGACATGTCCCCTTGGTGTCACTGAGCATCTTTCACTAGATGCTTAAGCATTGCAGGTTTAATTCTGGGGCTGGCATGTTGGTTTTGGCTGCTGTGCAGTGGATCTCATGGCCTGTTCCTCAGCCACAGCCCAGCCCTTGTCAGGGAGGGCTGCACAGCTCGTGACAGATTTTCCATCATTTCTGCAATGCCATCACTCAGTTGCAGTTGGGAGAGGGGTGGGAAATGCTTTGGAATTATTTTAATCAACAGAGTGCTTTGAGTGAAAGAGGTGAGGGGACCAGTGAGCTCCCAGTGCCTTCTCTGACTTTCTCACTCATTTCTGCATCAGCCAGGGGTGCCAAGGCTGAGAATTTACACCCTTGTATTTACCTGAAACCTCACTACCTTCCTCGGAACCTGTGAAAAATAAACGGGGTGGTGAAGTAGCCTGCGGCAGGGACGATGTGATGTGTAAGGCAAACATCTCCAGATCACTGTGAATAGTCCCTCCTGTTCCCAGGCACTCATCCCAGATATTCCCACCTCGTCACCAGCCCAGAGCACCGAGTGCCATCTCCAGGGCTGGGGACTCCAAACCTCCCTGGGCAGCCCCTGCCAAGGCCTGACCACCCTTTCCACGGAGAAATTCCTCCTAATGTCCAACCTAACACGATGCAGAGGCGCCCCCAGCCAGGCAGTCCCGTCTGTCCCTTCCTGAGGGACAGATTCTCCAGGCCGGGGCTGCTGCCGCTGCCCAGGACAGGCCGTTCCCACAGCCAGGGAGGCTCCTGCCCGCTCAGGGCAGCCCCGGCTTCGGGGAACCGACCCCGGGCCCGACTCAGCCCGGTGCGGGACAAGGCTCACCGCGGCGAGGCTAACCCGGGACACGGCGGGGCCGGGGCGGTGCCGGGGCGGTGCCGGGGCGGTGCCGGGGCGGTGCCGGGGCGGTGCCGGGGCGGTGCCGGGGCGGTGCCGGGCCTGTCCCGGGGCGGTACCGGGGCGGTGCCGGGGCGGTGCCGAGGCGGTGCCGGGGCTGTCCCGGGGCGGTGCCGGGGCGGTGCCGGGGCGGTGCCGGGGCGGTGCCGGGGCTGTCCCGGGGCGGTACCGGGGCGGTGTCGGGGCGGTGCCGGGGCGGTGCCGGGGCTGTCCCGGGGCGGTGCCGGGGCGGTGCCGGGGCGGTGCCGAGGCGGTGCCGGGGCTGTCCCGGGGCGGTGCCGGGGCGGTACCGGGGCGGTACCGCGGTTGGTTCGGGGCGGTGCCGGGGCGGTGCCGGGGCTGTCCCGGGGCGGTGCCGCGGTTGGTTCGGGGCGGTGCCGGGGCGGTGCCGGGGCGGTGCCGGGGCTGTCCCGGGCCTGTCCCGGGGCGGTACCGCGGTTGGTTCGGGGCTGTACCGGGCCTGTCCCGGGGCTGTCCCGGGGCAGTACCGCGGTTGGTTCGGGGCTGTACCGGGGCTGTCCCGGGGCGGTGCCGCGGTTGGTTCGGGGCGGGGCCGGTCCCGCCTCACGGCGCCTCACGGGGCCCAGGCGGGGCGGGGGCGGGGCCAAGGCCGGGGGCGGGGCCAAGGGCGGGGCTGACAGGGCGGGACGGTTCAGGGGGTGTGGCCAAGTGTGGGGCAGCGCTGATTGGGTAGGGCGGGGCAGGAGGCGGGGCAAGGGCGGGAGCCGGGCCAGGGACGGCGCTGATTGGCTGTGGCGGGGCCGGGGCGGGGCGGCTGGGGCCGGGCGGAGCGTGCGCAGTGCGGAGCGGTGAGTCGGGGTGGGGCGGTGGCGGTGGGCGCTGTCGCTGCCGCCCCGTGAGGGCCGGGCCGTAGCTCCGGGCCGGGGACCCGGGAACCGGCACACAGCCCTGGTTCCGGCCCCGGTACCGGCCGCGGCCTCCCCTGCGCTGCCCCCGCGCGAGCGGAGCCGGCGGTGAGGCCTTGCCGGGGTGGGGGCTGCCCGCCGGGCCGGTTCCCCTCAGAGCGGCCGTTCGGGACGGCGCGTGCGCGGCCCCGGGGCTCGGGCGGGCCGGGCAGGACAAACAGCGGCTGCGGCGAAGGGGCCTGTGAGGGGCACTTGGGCACGCAGTCGGGGCAGGACAGCGATCCCTCACACTGAGGGGTTTAAAACAAAAATATTTACGTGTAAGTTTCCCCCAACGGGCACAATTTGGATCCTGCCTGGAGCACGAGGGTGGGCAGGGTGACCTCTGGCCTACTGCGTGCCCAGGCTGCTGTGGAATAAAAACGTGCTGGAAAAATTGGAGTAGCTCTGGGGTATTGAATTGCATGTTTCTTCAGGGTGTGGGCTCTCTAACACGAGGTCTAAATTTTAAAACGGTTTTAATTGTTTTGGTACAAACTTGCATATGGTTCTCTGGCTGGAGAACTGGTAAAACAATGCATTGCACAAGGCCAGGAAGGGAGTCCTGAGCAAATGGGATTTTGTATATAAACGCTGTTTGAAATGTCGCCTTAAAACATTTAAGTGTAGAATGTTGAAGTTCAATGGTCGATGAGCAGCTGCATTTACGAGTGATCTTCAACAGAGCACTGACGCCACCCGCCTTCAGGAGGGTCTGGGTTTACACCAAGTTCTGTAGACACAATTTCTTAAGGCCAAGTTATTTATTCTGCAGTGTTTTTCTGCTAGAACTAACCCAGTCCAAGTGCAGTGCAGAGGCAGAGCTGCGTGCACCAGTGCTGCTCAGTGTGGCTGCCAAAGGAGGATAATCTGCAGAGGCATTTCTGTGAGGGAGGTGTCTGTGGGAGAGGCTGGTCCATGCACAGCCCGGCAGGAACCTTTTAAGTGCAAATAAGTGTCTAGAGGATGTTAGAAGATGACACGCCCTGTCATTTACCGAATGTGCTGCTGCAGTGTTCCTGCTCCCTGTGATCATTTGAATTCATTTGTTCTCTGGGAGTAGCATTGTTAAGGGATGAACTTCTATTTTTCTCTCTTTTCTTTCTTCCCCAACCCTGTCTTAAAATGACCCAGCCTGGCCCACTTTGTTTTTCAGCAGCCTCTAGGGCATTTCTGTGGTGTGAGGATCCAAAATATTGTCCCAGACACTTCAGTGTAGGAGTCCAGCTGCCAGAGGTGGGAGAGCAGTGTTGCGAGTTCCTGGAGGCTGCTGTCAGTGTGACCATGTATTTACTAAATTTGAAGGGATACAAATACGATTCTTTGGAAGAAATCAGCTGGAAGCAGTGAACTGGTGGATTCCTGGTGAACTGTCAGAACAGCCTTTGAACCCCCAGTGTTGTCCCTGTGTCCTGAAGCAGCACAAGAGCAGGGCTGGTGCTACTGCCACCATCTTCTTCATTTTTACAGTGGAGAATTCCTTTAGCCTGAGCAATAAAACACCTGGAAAACTTCAGCACCCCCAAACCTGTCTCTGTCTGCTTCTGCTTGGGTTGGGCAGATGGGGTTGAAAGCAGAGCAACCATACCTTGAGAATTTGTGAGGCAGTGGAATATTGGGATAAATTTAGGGATAATAGTCAGCCTTTCCATGTGCTAATCCTCTGTGCTCCTGACTCCCTCTGTGACTTTTATAACCCACCTTAGCTCTTACACTCAGCGTTCTCCTCTGAGAAATAACGCTTGACTCGGGCTCGTGAGGGACGTGAATCAGCTTTAATGAAGATTTGTCGAGCACTTTGTTGATAAGTTCTCAATAGCTCGTTGCTATTTTTTATGAACACGCAGATATTCTCAGCACCTGCAGTGGGAAGTGACACAAGGCTGGGGATCTCTGGAAGCAGTCCTGCCAAGGGAGACGGCGCCTGCTCACCGGGGCTCTGTCAGATCCATTCTGGCTGTGGTTCACGAGGCAGCTCAGCAAAACCCCAAATCCCTCTGAGTCTTTGGGAAATCTGAAATGTTCCTGAGAGCTAAGCCCTGCTTTTGCATGAGATTTGTAGCTTTTGCCCTCTCTCTGGATTCCTCCCAAGCTGCTGGTTGGGTTGGTGCAGCTGTGTTCTGGCAGCACCAGCTGCTGTCACCTGCTTTGTAACACCTTGTGGCAATGACTTCAATGGCTTTCAGCGACTGTCCCCTCCAGTTAAGGTGTCTGGGATAGGCAGGGCTGGGTGAGGGCACATGTGAGCTTCAGGCAGTCACAGAGGTCGGTGGAGCTGTGTGGGGTGGGAGGGGAGGAGGGAAGCTGGGAAGCCGCGCCTTCCCCAGGGCAGCATCCCATTCCCTGTTGGCTTCTCTGCTGCAGCAGCGAGGTGGCAAATGAAGCTTGATGAGCTTTGTTTGTGAAGGATAAGGAAGGTGTGAATGGAAACGGTCACACTGGTGCTGGGTCTGTGTTGTGTGGGTGCCCCTCAGCAGGATGAGGAGCTCTGTTGTATTTTGGGGAAGAGAAGGCTGTTCATTTGGCTTTGTCACTGCTGTAGGAGTAGCCAGATGGAGGATGCTAAAATGAAATACAGAGCTGGAACAGCCTCCTTGTCTGTGGCCCTGTCCTGAGCCAGGTGAGACACTTGGCTCCAGGGTGGACATTGGTGGATGGTAGTACAGATCTGGACAGGGCACAGTTCACTCTGGAATCCCACTCTCAGAGCCTGACAGCTCATCTAACTTGCCCTTGCAGCAAACTGAGCAGCCAGTTGATGTCTTACCTTCATAGAGCGGGGAGCCCTGTGGCTGGCTGTCCTTGCCAATAAACCCTGTTAAAATCTGAGAGCTGGTCCTGGCTCTGGAGGGAGCAGGGATGGAGAAGCCCCTCCACAGCTCGTATGGGGGCAGCGTGTTTTATACTGCTGACTGCTCTGTTGGCTGCCCAGACCCTCTGGTTTGTCTGTAACTCAGAGCTGATGCCCAGCACGGAGCCCAGAACTGGGTATTTTTTGTTCCTGGATCACAGAGTGATGTTCAGCTCTTTGGAGCTGTGGTATCACAGTGCTGGCACATTTATTCTGGTCCCCAGTTTTCCCCAGGTTCCCTCTGTCTGGAGAGCTTTCCCCTGAACTCTGTTTGTGTGCTTGATCTCTGTTTGTGCTGTTTCCAAGTGCACTTCTTTGCATTGTTTTCCTTGCTTTTCTTTCTATTGATTTGTGGGTGTTTTGGGAACTTTTCTTCAGTTTATCAATTCTGATCATGACCTCCAGAGTGCTTCCAGCTCTTAACTCCTGGGCATCCTTTCAGGTTTTATAAAAGTGGTTTCTCTTTCGTTGTTCAAACGATTAATGGAAAGGTTGAACAGAAGCAGACCTGGGCTAAGCTCCCAGGGCCCATACAAAAGGATTTATCTTGTGGTGACAGGGAATTGCTGATAGCTACCCCTCGAGTGTGTGGGGTTGAGTTGCTTTGGTTGGTCTTTTTTTTCTTGGTTAGTAATGAGCACTGGGCCTCATGAAGGTGATCTTGCCCAGACCCAGCTCCTCTGGCTGTTGAAAGCATCAGATTGATAGAGTGCAAAGCCTGCTTTGTGCTGGTTAGAGGTGTGATGGGCAGGGTCTGTAGGGGGGGGATTGTGCTCTCTGTCTGAAGGCTGAGGTGATTTTTAAGAGCTTTCATGAACTTTGTTCACCTGGGGCTTCTTGCTGACACTTACTGGGACTGGCACAGCTCTGAGGCGATCCTCAGCCCTGCTTCCCACCCAGAGCTGCCTCAGCAGTGGGCTGTGCATGGGGGAAGCTGTGTCCAGCATCTCCTGCTTCCCTTTTCTCTCCATAGGTCTCTCCTCAGTGAGAGTTGGACTTGTCTGTATGTGGCTAAAATAGCAAAAATACATTTTTCTCCTCAAGCAATCCCAAGTTCCTTGTGTGGTTCCTCTTCTCAGGAAAAGAGAAAACTACTTGCTCTGGAGAAATTATTGACCCTCAGTTTTATTCCTAAATAGTCTGTCACGGTGTGTGTGCTTGCAGGATACCTCAGTGCACCAGGCCTTTGTTGTCCCCTCAGTGCCAGCTGCTCCAGGAAGAGGAGGTATTTGAGCTGAAATAGATTCCACTGGAGCAAACGTCTCTGCCCAAGCAGGACCAGCTCTGCCTTCCCTGAGTTCTGTGAGTACTGAGCTGCTGGGTTCAGCTGCCTAAAGTTTAAGAATTGGTCCTTTTCTGAAGTGCTCTTCCACCCACTGTTCTATCTTTCTTTGCACATGGGTCTAACTGTGGGGTGGAATTTGGGCCTCACCGAATTTAAGGACAGCACAGGATTCCTCTGTGGTGTTCATGTCTTCTCCTCTCCAGGCTGGTAACTTGTGTACCAGGGACACCATCATCAGGATGGAGACACTGTGCCCTCTTTGTTCTCCTGTATGGGTCCGTGGCTGATGGTAGAGTCATTGACTCATGGAATATTCTGAGTTGGAAGGCACCTACAAACATCATTGTATCCATCTTGATACTGACCTAATTTTAGTTCCAGGGGAGAAAATTCAGTCTCCCTAAAACATTCCTATGGCTTCTGTTGGATTCTTCCTCACTGGGCTGTGTGCTGTAGTTAAATATGGATGGAAAGGTTGTGTTCCACTCTGGATTACAGCTGAATCTCAGTGATGGATAAATTGTCTAGTTTGCAAAGCCCCTTGGGCTTCAGGGCTGCAGGAAGCTGCATTTTATTCTAGATGTGTGTTTGCTGATAATTCTATAGGATTTGCAGACAGCAGGTTGTAAGAGCCCTGATTATACTGGTTCCCTGTGCAGACTTTGCCCAAATAATTCAAGTGCCTGCTGCAGAGAGAGGGAAAGGAAGATGGGAGGATGATTTAGAAATCTCTGGAGTAGATGGGAAGAAGACACAGATGTTGATCTGAAGGAGATACCAAGCCACATATATGGCTTTAAACCTCTAAATAAGTCAGGATTTTTAAAATGGTTGCCTACATTAAACCCAAATATTTCCTTTAACAAGAGGTATTAAAGGTTTAACTTAATTTTAGAATTTTTATTCCAAGTGTACTTCCATAAAATTAACTTTTTGAATGCAGAATGCTTTAATGTCTTCCGTGTTGGTGCTCATTTGCAAGAAATCTCTGCACAGTTATTTCTTATGTACCAGTTAAATCTATCAGCCAACAGATGTCAAGTGTAGCAAAAATGCTATAATAATATTATGGTCTAATAATAGTTATAATGATTCTAATTACCTGGTGCAGCTTTAAAGAGAGGCAGATTCAGAGATGAGTGCAAAGGAGGTGTTTAACCTTGAACTGCAGAAGCAGGGTACTTCCAGAGGTGCCTGTGCTGCCTGTGCCTCCTCCCTGTCGGACATCCCCCTCCCTTTATTTTCTCCAGCAGACTGGGAGCAGCACTCGGGTGTTTTTTCCTTTAGGAAGGATCCTGGCCTGCATTTGCTGTATTCCTTTGCTTTTGCCTGATGTTGCTGAGTGCTGTTAGTGCCTTGGGGTCCCAGTGCTCGTTGTTGCTGTAGTGTAATGGATCCCCTCGTGCCACAGCTGCTCATTTTAATCCTGTGACATGCAGGAATGAGGAGTCCCTGGCTCACAGACCAGCAGCCTTTCCACATGGGAAGCTCTGTGTGGGCTGGAAGTTGACAGCTTTCAATGATTATACACTGAACCTTCTTCCTATAAATAATTGATTCACAGGCTGATGAGAGTTACAGGAACTTACCTCTCAGTTGCTTCTCCCTGGCATGGACAGCAGCTGGAAATCGACTATTTTCCTATACAATGGATCCAGAGGTGCCCTTGCAAGGTTTTCTTTATTTCCAGCCTGCTTGCAGGCTGACATGCTCTGCTTCTTGGGCAAGCCCTGCCTGCCAACACCTGCAGCACACCTTGTCCCAGGGCTCGTGCTGCTGAGAGCTCTGCCACCTTCAGCCTTTCCCTTGGGCAGGTTCAGCCTTTTCCTTGGGCAGGTTCAGCCTTTCCCTTGGGCAGGTTCAGCCTTTCCCTTGGGCAGGTTCAGCCTTTCCCTTGGGGAGGTTCAGCCTTTCCCTTGGGCAGGTTCAGCCTTTTCCTTGGGCAGGTTCAGCCTTTCCCTTGGGCAGGTTCAGCCTTTCCCTTGGGCAGGTTCAGCCTTTCCCTTGGGGAGGTTCAGCCTTTTCCTTGGGGAGGTTCAGCCTCTCCTTTGAGGAGGTTTGCCTTCTTGCTGGAGTCAGTGTGTGTGTGTGTGTGTGTGTGTTGGTGCATCACCATGGAGATGAGGCCACAGGAGCTGCAGGGTGCAGCCTTTTCCAGGCTCACGTGAAAAAGGATGCAGTAATGGGCTCCTCTTATTTAGGGAAAATGATTTCTTGGAGTAAATAAATCGTCAAAGAACATTTGGCATCAGCCCAGGTGCTATTAAGGAGAAGATCTCTTGAAGCCAGAGCTGTGAGGCTCATGCAATATTCACCTGCTTTGCTGTGTTCCACATCAGGCATTGCCACTGTGCCCAACACTGACTCACTGACCCACTTGTGCTTTTACTTACCCTGAGATAACAAAGCTCCTGTTGCTTTCCTCCTCCCTGTGGATGTATTTCTCATCCTGCCACAACAGCACCTTCCTGCATCCCTCTCCTTGGCCACTGAGTGTCCAGGCTTTCAGTGCTTTGAGTGGTTATGAGGCTTCACTTCCCATGGTTGCTGCTGCTTCTGCCGGGTTTGCAAAGGACATGCAGGGTGTGTGGCTGCAGTGAGCTCTCCCCCATGCAGAAACACCTCTCTGGGTGGAGAGGTTGTGCCAGCACACCCCAAATCCCTGGTCTGGTCATGCAGACATTCTTGGGGGGGTGGAGACACTGCCCTTTCCATGTGCATGGCCCTGGGACACTCTTTCCTTTCCAGTTTCTAGTACACAGAGCCCTCCCAACAAGGTCTGGAGGAGCCCTGTGGCAACTCCGGCTCATTGCCTCCATGTCTCCTTCCAGACTTCATCCGTAAACATCTCTTTGCCCTTGCTAAAAACAATGTCTCTTAATTTCTCTCTGCAGGAGTATTCTTTAATTTGTAACAGTTTAAGGACATTATTTGAAAAATCCGATATGAAGCTGTATTTCATTTACTGTAATGATCCACTAATGCAGGCATATTTCAAAGGCAGGCGATGCAGTACTGTGGGGTTTAATTAAATTTTGTTTTTCAACTGAGCATCAATAGACAGACAATAACAAATGGTGGACAATATGCATACAGAACAAAGTCTCTTCATTTTCCTTTTCAAGACTGTGGAAGCAAAAATGTATAGCCCTTAAAATGGACTTGGCCTGCTCACAACTGCTGCTTTAGTGTAGTTAACTCACTTCAGGAAGAGCTTTTTCTTCTTGCTCTGCCTTAATTAATTTTCCTGCTCTCTTCCTGCCCACAAAATAAACTCTTGCACTGTGGAAAATTTCCAGCACAAGCTGTGGGTGATCTGAGTGCTTCTGGACGTAGTTTTGAATACTGTGTTGGTACCTAGTGTGTGATGGCTCCTCCAGATGGGCCCTCCTGAGGGTGACAGAACAGAAGGGCTGGGTGTGAGGTTCCTCTCTCTGGCAACTGGACATAGCATGTGCCAGCCTTGGAAGGAGAGGGAAAAATAGCGTTGCTGCCATGGTTGTACTCAAATCAGAAATCAGCAATTGGCTCTGGAGTGCATTTTGTTCCTCCTCTCCCAGCAAGCATGGGGTAACCAAGTACAGAGTGTATGTGGGAAGCTGGGGAAGAGTGTTCCACATCAGCAGGAGGCTTCTGGGAACCATCCTGGTGCTCACAGTGTGGCACTTGGACACGTGTTCTTGGGTAAAGAAATTTGTCGCTGGTGCTGTAAATGGGCTCCTTTGTTCAGATTTGAGGAGCAGGGTGAGATGGGGTGGCTGAGGCAGATTTGGTTTTCTCACGGTGTCTGAAGAATTTACCATTGTTCAGGAAGAGAACCAGAGTTTGCTGAGGAACCCGATGCGAGTGTGACTTCCACTGCACTCCAGCCCTTTGATTCTCTCAGCAATCCCTCAAAGGCAGAGAGCTGAAAAAAGCAGGAATTTTTCAGAGGAAGAGTCTCCATTCAGAGATATGAGTTCATGCCATGTCCTGGGTTGGTGCCTAAAGCTTTGCCTGCTTAACCTGCCTTCAAAGGCTGGGGGCAAGGGCTGTGCCTGGAGCTGGCACTGCTTCCCACCACTGAGCTGGGCTGGGTCCCAGTCCAGAGAGCTGCTGGCTGGAAACTGGAGCAGGCAAAGGCTGGGAATCTGTGGGAACCTGACTCCTGATGTCTGTGCAGCTGTAAGTGCCTGAAAAGCATGGCTGGAAATGACAGACTGGAGTCCGTAACCTCCTCCTCCTCCCTGGCATATTGGTGTAACACTTCCTGTGTTCCAGGCACAGCCTGTGTTTGCTCCTTGCTGGAAGCAGCGCTGTGAGTCCTTTGCAGCTCTCCTGGTGCCTGGGCCAGCTGAGAGTTGTGTTCTGAGCTGGGTGAGAGGCTCCTGGAGCAATGGATGGAGTCCTGTGCTCTGTGCCAGTCCCTGTGGCTGGAGAGGAGTCCTGGTACAGATAAAAGGGGTATAAATATAACTCATCACCAGGCACTGGATGCTCTTTAAATAAACTGGGGAAACCCCACACAGCTGAGGTTTGTACTGGCCCTGCTAATGGTGGGGGAATGCCCCATGCCTGATTCCTTGTTCTTCCCTTGTTCCTTGCTTTAGGCTGCCAGATTTCCCATTTTCTTCACTTCTTTTTGTTGATAGGCAGTGTCAAGGTTCTGTTGCTGGGGTTTGGGGCAGGAGGTTGCTTTCTGGTGACTTGAAGCAACACCTCCAGCTTCTCCTGTTCTTCCTTTGGATCTCCTGCCTTTCTCCCTGTGGCTGCTCTCACTGTGCCATAAACTAATCTCCTTCCAGCCAGGAACCTCAGGCCTCTTGCAGACTCACTTTTATGGGGCCATTATCTGTCATCTATAGAAGGAGAGGCTTTCCTGGCTATGGGGGGGCTCAGGTGGCTGCTCCCAGCTGGAGCACACTGGAACATCTGGAGCCAGTGGCTGAGCTCTGGGCTGAGGGATGTGCCCTCTGTGCAGACCAGGGAGTGCTTGAGGTGGTCTTTGCAGGAGCAGGTGAGTGATTTGAGATCCTCA